AAGAAAATGTTAGGAAAAGAAGGGTGAAAAAGGAGGGCACCATTAAATCGAGAAGGAGGCTAAGAGCTAACCTATTAGTATATCGACAAGTACTAGCACTTTCTAGGGGGGGGGCCCAGCTGGCCTCTGGACATGCACCAGCATGCAGTAGGTATTAATAAAATTATTTGTTAAATAAACGCACAGATGAAGGAACTGTGTGAGGATGAAAACAAGGCTAACTCATTCATTGTCCACTACATTGGTGGGGTTGTGAGGGGGAATACCCCAAAAGTATTCTGTAAACAGGTGGAAACTCAGAAAATTTCCTTGAAATTAGCAAAAACATTCAATGAATGGGGGAGAGTTGGGGTTCAAAAACATAAAGGCATAATCAACAACCCTACACCCCAAGTTTCCCAGAGCTGCTATGTGCTGTTATTAGCATCCTGACTGCTAGCGTCTCCAAGCAGATTGCTGAAAATGTGACCAGACCTGGAGCTCCCTGTTTGGGGGCCACAGACCCCTCTGAGATTGATGACAGCATCAGAACCCTCCCCATGCTCAAAAGCACGCGTGCACAACAAATCTTACCTGACGTGCTATGCTCTGAGGCAGCCTTCGCTGCTTCCCCTGGGAGGCACCTCCCTGACCCTATAGCTTTTTAAAATTTTTTAAAAAAATTTATTTATGTATGCATACAAGAACTGGGGTACAGGCACAAGGTGAAGGGGTGAGAAGATTCACCAGAGATAGAGTGGGGAGCAGAACAGGCAGATGTATTGAAATACACTTCAGAGGGGAGCAGTGGCCACACAGGAGAGGTCTGCTGTTCCATGTGGTCACTTCCCTGACCGGGGATAGAACTCATGCTGCAGTGGTCACAGATAGCTTCGTAGTGCTGTGCTTTAACAGGTTGAGCCACCAGGGAGGGCCCCTGACCCCATAGCTTTCCATCACATCTGGAATTACCTTGCTTCTGGCGGTCCCCACCACCAGACACGGAGCCCCATGGAGACACTGATGTGCATGACTGCCCCACTGTCCCGGGGCCTGGCTCTGTAGGTGCTGGATGAGTGAGGGGCTCACAGACCCCCTGCAGCCTGCCCAGAGCCCTCAAGATTTCCAACTGGAGACCCGAGGTGGGGAAGGGGAGCGCTGTGCTCCAGACACAGGACTGCAAGGAAGGAAGGATGGCCCACAGACATAGGCCTGTTTCATGGTGAGCCCTGTATTCTTGGTCAGCAGAGCTGAAGTAAGACAGGGGGGCAGCGAACTGACTAGAAGAAACTAAAAAGAACTACCAGTGTATTGCAAGGAGGCCTGCTTCCCGTTTTAATATCTGTGTAACTGATAAGACAGGATTTGAAATCCCGGAGACACTGGGGATTTGGGGACACCTCCCTGCTGAGACCTATGCAACCTCTACCAAGTCCATCCCCACCATGGAGCGCCACTGCACCCCACTTGCTGTGTCTGGGCCTTTTTTGCACAAGCAGTTCCCTCTGCCCAGCCTGCCTTCCCCACTTCTCCCACCTGGGTCCATCTTTCGGGCCCTGCTCGGAAGGTGTTCCCCACCCCAGGATGCTCAGGCAGTTACTCACTACCGCTCAGCATCCTGTGGTGTCTGATTCTAACCAAATCCTGTCTGGGTTAGAATGAGCCATGATTAAGTTGTCTCCCTTGAAGTGTGATCTGAGTCATCCGTGTCACCACAAACCCCAAAGGCAAAGCTCGGCTCAGCTCAGCACAGGGCCAGGCCGAGAAGAGGTGTCAGGAAATGTTAGTGGCCAGAGGTTCTATCACCACCCTCCCCCCTCCCCACTGTCCTTGAGAGGGAACTTGGGACAGGAGCCCTGAGGGGTGGGGAAGGGAAGGTGAGAAGTAGTCAATCCCAGCTACCCTTCTGGAACACCCATCTTCCAGGCACCATACTGGGCACTGAGTTTCAAAGAGGGATCAGCTGCTCCTGGCTCACCAGTAAACTACTGGTGTCTGGGCCCAGTTCTGCCTGATTCCAAAGCCTCTGTGTCAAGTAGAGGCACTAAGTGGCTGGTAAACAGCAGGGTCACACAGGCCCCCAGCAGCAAGGCGGCTCTCTGGGCAAGGCCCAGCTGTGCTAGCAGCTCACTGCCTGTGGCGGGGCGGGTCAGAGGACCTGGCAATGAGGTCAGCAAGACCCTTCTGTGCAGGCCAAGTGGCAGGAGGACGGTTTTGGGGGCGCCCTGTGCTTAGTTTTCCCAGTCGCCCGCACCCACCCTGAGAAGCCAGCTGTTTCCCAGAGTGACTAGGAGCAGGTCACCTTGCTTTGAAGACGCTTACCAGGCCCTTACCCTTTTATTTTTGCTTGGGCTGTTCCTAGATCAAATACCCCTTTTCTTCTCATATCCCACCATACCCCAGTGACAATAGCACAGGCCTCAAAGCAAATTCTTGCCTTGTCGTAGTCACTGAAGGACCTTACACGTGTCACTTTGCCTCAGTTTCCCCATCTGTTACATGGGGCTGCAGATCAAATGGGGGGCCACCCAACCCAGGGCTGACACACTGGTGGCTCTGTGCACAGGTGCTGATGTCCCAAGGTGTCAACCCACAAGGAAAGGCCTGACATACTCTGTTTAGAGCCCCCTTGCTTGCTGCAGGGCAGGAGAGCACAGCTGAGCCAGTGTCTGTCACCACACTACCCACAGAGCAAGCTGGGCCGTCACATGGCCTGCTGAGTCACACCTGGGCCCTCCCTTCATCCTGTCAGCCACCAGTCTTCCCGAAAACTCCCCATCTCCCCATCACATGGGATGGCAATTTCACAGCGCTATTCCCACTTTAGCAAGCTGAGGCCTGGAGTTTGCCCAGATTTATCCAAGGAGTCGGCTATATAAACTGGGACTAGACTTGGGTGTCCTGACTCCCAGTCTACAACGCTCAGAGCATCTGTCCCAGGGAGCTGTTCACCCACCTCGGTGCCCAAGCCTCGCCCTTCAGACGAGCTGGTAACACACTCAGGTTTGAAGCACTGACAGCATTAGCTAGGTGCTGGTGAATTTCCTGGTTTCCCTGCTAAATATTTATCATGGAGTCTCCTCATGCCCAGCTGTCCCAGACCCGGCCTCTGTCTCTACTTTTTCCAGAGCTCCACGTCCCACACAACATGGAGTCTCACCTCCACTACCCTTTTTGCACCTGCTACGGCTTTCCAACCTCCGGGCCAGGGCCAAGCTCCCTCTGCCTCCCTTTCCAGGCCCTCCACACTTCCCACAGCCACCTTACCTCTAGGGCCTGCCTCCCACATGCTTCCCGCCCCATACTCACCGTGACCACACCTCCCTCAGAAGCCTGGACACCCAGGCTCCCAAGGATCCACTCTCCTCCCACTAGGCCTATCATGAGCACGGCACTTCCCTGATATTTTGCCTCTGTAAAGCATGCCCTCTCCCCCACCTGTAAGACCTGAAGCCCCCAGTGGGGCCCTGGGGTGGGTCTCCAGGGTCAACTGTGTGTGCAATCTCCTTTCTCTCCACATGGGGGCCCAAGGATAGGCGAGGGGCCCTCACTCCCAGGGCCAGCACATCCTGCTTGTCCAGGACTAGCAATGTCTACAGAGCCTTGTTCCCGGGTACAGCACAGCTCTTCCTGTAAGTGCCTAGACAGACTCCTCCTACCTGACCCGTTTCTACTGTCTCCAGAATTTAGTCTCACTTCCTCCAGGAAGCTCTCCAGGACTTGCTCAGGACCTCACAATCTGAAGCATAACTGAGTTTCATTTCTCCCATGTGGCAGATTAGAGCTGCTGGGCCCCTACTTTCACCCTCTTCCATAGCTCAGTCATGCTTTGGAGTGCTCTGTTCCTGCAAACCAGCTCCATCTTATTCTCTCTGCTATCCATCAGCTTGGGAAGGGCAAAGCATTAAGAGAGGTTTAACAAAAGTCCTCTGCTGAGAGATGCTGGGGCAATGGCTCGTCACTACAGGAGACAGAGGAGCCAGTGACACCAGTGGTTTGGGAGACTGGGAGGCTGGGGCTTGCTTACACCCCTCAACAGCCATTTTCCCTCTCTGGGCCTCAGTCACTTCCACTCTAAGCAGGCGGGGGGGGGGGGTTACACCTACATTTAATCTGAACATCTTTCCCCAACATTCTTAGTGACAGGGAATCAAAACCGTAAGCCATTAAGTGTGACTCTTTCCACACCAGACATGTAGTTGAAAGATAAAAGTCTGAACTTTAGCTTTGACCTTCCCCTGAGTATTTTGAAATACCAGGTATTAAAGTGCATGCAGAAGGGCATGCTTTGCTGGTGTCGCAGGCACATCTGGCCGGCTATGGGTGAGCTGGCCCCAAGGTGAATGCTGGTCTCCAGCCCCCTTCTGGCACGAGCTCAGTGCTCAGACACTGGTGCTCATTCCCTGGCCTCGGGCCTTCCTTCAGGATAGCTCTGGTCCCGCCCCCCCCCCCCCAACTACCTCACAGTTTTGTCAAGTTTCTGATCAGGGTGGGGGCCCAGAGGAGCCTGCCCAGGCCGCTAGGCAGGACCATCCCGGCAGCCTCCTGAGACTCGCTGTGTCAATGGGGCAGGTGCAGCCCAAGTGGCTTCCCACACCCCCACATTCTAATACTGGCTCTAACATCGGGAACAGGAAGCCAGTCCCCCAAAGCCTTCGCCCTCTACCACACACACACCCCCAGTCTCGTCAATGCTCGTTCTCACTGGGTCTCTGCCCTTATCAGCTGAACCCATCTTTAATAGAAGGGTGGGTAGCCTCCACCAGGGTGGAGACCTCAGCCAGACGGAGGACCTACCCAGGGGGGTGCCACAGGGAGAAGGCCCAGGTGGGGCAGGAGGCTGGAGGAGGCATAGGCAGTAGCGCTCTGGAGTCTGAAAGCACAGGAAGCCTGGGGATCCGACCGGGCACAGGAAGAGCACTTCCCTGGAGGAGTGCCCCACTTTCCCTGACCTGGCCCTGACTGAGCCCACCAGACAGACAAAGACAGACCTGTCAGGGTAGGAGGAGAGGGCAACTTACTGGTCACGTAGAGCAGGGTGTGGAAGATCCACCTCATAGCTGGAGCAGAAGCAGTGGCGGGGGCCTCAGCTCAGCTTCCCCTCGGCTTGCTTACGGTAGGAGGCGGGGACTGAGGGAGTCAGGCCCACCCTACAAAGCTGGCTGCCAGCTGCTTGGGCAGGTGTGGGCTGGGTCCTGGTAACTTACAACCAACCTCCACTCCCCACACTTTCAAAGCTTGGAGAGCCAGGCTTTGTGCTGGGAACATAGGAACATAGTTCTGGGTGTCGGGCAGCAAGGTTTGAGGTGGAGGGGCAGCTTTGACCCAGTTGTCTATCTCCATGTGAGTCCCCATCCACTGCCTGCCCCAGAAGCTGCCAGCAGACATCATAATCCAGCTCCCAGCCCAGAATTGTTGGTGAGGTTGCTCGCCAGTGAGTGGGGCTCCCCTTCCAGACTGCCCTCACTGCCAAAAGTGGGGCTCCCACACCAAGCTGTGCATTCAAGCTCTTGGTCAGGTGAGAGACCCCCACACACTAACTGAAACCACAGCCTCAGTCCAGCTTGGGCTTTGTCTCTAAAACCTGGCTACACCATAGCATGTTGAAGCCAGTTTGACAGAGCTCTGACCTACCAGAAAAGTAAAAGTAAAATTCTGTATATCCTTCAGAGCACCTTTGACTTAACCCAGCATCTAAGAGAATGCATTGCTAAGTATGCAGTCACGCTTAAATACTAACTTCACGGCTTGTCAAATTTTCCATGTGACAAATTTTGTCTCAGAAGGCAGCGGCACCTCCCCCCCCTCCCCAGGTTGCTGGCTTTCCAGCAGATCTCTGCGATGATGTTCTAGATCTGCACTGTCCAGCGTGGTAGCTGCCAGTCACATGTGGCTACTGAGCCCTTGAAATGTCACCAGTGCAACTGAGGAACAGAATTTGAAATTTTATTTAATTTTAATTTACATTTCAAAAAGCAGATTCTGTGCCTCATGTGAATGTCTGCATCCTAGGGAGAGCGCTTTGAAGCATTAATATGTGCTACTACAGGCAGACAATGGTGTTCTTAATGCTATATGAAAATCAAGTTTATTTTGTTTCTTATGTTGAATGCATGCTTCTCAGTTTTATGAAGATTTGATGACATTTAAAACATGTTTGCATTACCTGTTTTGATCTGACAAAGTATCTATGGCTAGAATAATCACTCCCTGGTTTACGCAGTTGAGTAGAGATCATAATTCGCCATTAGTACATCCGTTGCACACCATCCAACAGAAAAAAACAGTGAAAAGAGCCAAATCCCAGGTCTGATGACTTACTTGCCAGATCCTGGTGAAGACCACCCAAAGGGCATTTAACCTGTCAGGCAGGGCAGACAGCAAGCCCTCACCACTCCAGGGAGGTGAGCTCTCCTCCCTCCTCACACTGTTCAGAAGTCCAGGGGCAGTTTGGCTGGGACTCCTCTCCCCAACGATGGCCCAAGATGACAGTAACCCAAGGCTAGAGTCCAGGACTGTAACTCAGTCAAGATTTCTGAGAAGCGAGACTTCAGTTTGGAATAAGAGCTTCAAGACATCTCAGGAGACCAGGGAACGTTGATGACTGGGTGTAGGGTCATTTTCTGCATCTTGGAGACTTCCAGAATGCTGACTCATCCCGTATCCATCTGAAATGTATTCACCCAACTCGTCGGCGCCAGCACGGCACACCCCTAACCATGCACATACAGGGCGCTTCAAGCCCACCTGACAGCTGCTTTCCTCACAACCCAAGCCTAAGGCCCCAAGGACAGTCAGGCAGTGCTGCGTGACACTCCCATTCCCAGCACCAGCGCAAGAGCATATGCATCAAAAGGTGCGGGGAATGGCTGCTTATCTCACTGCACTTTAAACAGCCCCAGCTGAGGGGTTTTCCATAACATAGCTAGAATGACTCCTCCAAAGGCGTCAAGATCTTAAAAGAAGAAGAAAGGCTAAGCGATTGTTCCAGATTAAAGGAAATTAAAGATAATTAAATGTGCTGTTAATCCTGGACTGGATCCTAGACCAGGAAATAAACTGCCTTAAAAAAAGTTACTGGAAAAAGAAATTTTGTAACTATGTGATAAGAGATGTTAACTGGACTTACTGGGGTGATAAAAGCACCAATGTCAACTCATGTTGTATACCTGAAACTAGTGTTAGATATGTCCATGATACCAATATAAATAGATAAATGAACAACATTATTGGGACAGTTGACAAAACTGAAACATGAACTATAGCTTCAACAAAATTATACATTTCCTGAATTTATTAATTATACTATGGTCATATAAGAGAAGTTCCTTTTTTTTTTTTTTTTAGTAAGTCTATCTTTAGGGGGTAAAGGGATATAACTTGAATAGTTCACAGTTCTGATTGAGGGGCAGAATTGGGAAGGAGCGGAGGGAAAGAATGAGTAATAAAATGTTCTTTGTTCTACCCCTGAAGCTGTTCTGTAATTTTGAAATTATTTCCAAAGCAGTAAGTTGAAACAGTCACCTGATAGAGAAGACATGTTCAGCAGGAGGTAAAAAGGGGCTGTCTTTAAGAATCAAGAGCACCAGTGCGTGACTCAACAGAGAGGTGGGTGCTGTTCTCACCACCCCGCCTCGGGCTCCACACACAGGATTTTAATAATATATGCCCGAGCCCCAGGAAGCTGGGAAAAGGGGACTGGGAAGAAGGAATTTAGGAGGAGGAGGACAATTCTGAGGCGAGAGGAGGACTGCAGCTGTGGGCAGAGCCAGAGACCGAAGAGCAGAGTCACCCCAGGAGGGAGTGCCAGAGCCAGCGGCCTGGCCTGCCCTGCGAACCCCTTCGGTGCCCAGTCACCCCAGTGAGCCATGCCAATTTTACAGGCAAGCTAGGTGAGGCCATCCTCCCCAGACCGCGTGGCTAGTCACAGCAGGGTGAGAAGCACAGTGGTTTACGTCTCTAGAAGAACTCTGGAGCACTAGAAAGCCTACTGTCTTCAGATCCATGGTCTCCCAGTTTGGGAGTTTTTTAAAGAGCAGAGAACTCATTGTACAAACATATCAGGCTCCTTCCTACTGGATGGTATGGAAGGAATTGTGTCACCTCCCACGCCACCCCCAAATTCACAGTTGGAACTGTAACCCCCAATGTTACTGCATTTAGAGACAGTGCTTTTAGGAGACAATTAAGATCCTAAAGGTTTTGGTGGCCTTAGAAGAATGCAAAGTCTCATTAGCCACACCCAGGAAAGGCTGTGTGTACACAGGCAGATGGTGATGTGCAAGCCAGGAAGGGCTCCCACCAGAGCCCAACCACACTGGCTCTCCATCTCGGGCTTCTAGTCTGCATGCTGAGAAACTACATTTCTGCTGCATAAGCTTCCCAGTCCACGGCATTTTGTTACAGCAGCCTAAACTAATACAGGGCCACCTCCTTAAAAATCTCCCAAATAAACCTGGTTTGTGTGCCTGTGTTGGGGAGGGGAGCATGGTGGGGGGGGGGGACCTCTGTCCTTTCAGATCTGCAGGGAATGTTAAACTAGGTCACAGGAACAAGTCTGCGGGCTCAGGCCTCCTGCTTGCGCCCCCCCCCCCTTCCTGTCCATCCTACACTCTGATGTTCCTTGGGAAAGTACAGCAAAGATCCTAGAACTCGGGCCCTCCCTGGTGGTGCAGCGGGTTAAAGCACCGCACTGAGAAGAAGCTTAAGCCACTTCCGCATGAGTTCGATTCCTACCTGCCCCGGAGGTGACCACTGCTCCCCTCAGCAGTGTACTTCATGGATCTGCCTGTTCTGCTCCCCACTCTGTCTCTGGTGAATCCTCTCACCCTCCGCATTTCTGGCTTGTACCCCAATTCTGTATGAATAAATAAATCCTTAAAAAAAAAAAGATCCTAGAACTCACAAGAAAGAAATCTGAAGTCATCCCAGTTAAGCCCTTCATTTGACAGACAGGGAAACTGAGGTTCAGACAGGTGAAAGGACTTGTTCAGAGCTGGTGTATGATACAGAATGAATCTCCAATGCCTCAGTCCCAGTTCCACCCCACCTGACTCTCTCTCCCCTCCTTGAGTGGAAGTGCTTCCTGCTCACAGGCTGAGGGAACCCTGACCCAAGACAAGGGGAGATTCATCACAGGAGTACACACGACGACCGCAGAGGGGCTGGGTGAGCCTGTCTCCTCTCCTGCCGATGCGATGGCTTCCTGTCCTCGCTCACGCACTGATCTAGGCTGACAGTGGAACCAAGTCTCAGCTACTGAAGAAGCTGTCACCCGAAGAGGGCCTCGAGAACTGGGGGATGACTTTGGTAGGTTAAATACCACCCATGCTCTAGAGTGGTATTTATAGCATAGCAAAATCCCACTTTAATGCCTTACAACAATTTGAAGTAGGCTTTTGAGTCAGTATTTCCTTAATTACTCCCAAGAACATCCAAGTTCTGTGAAATGTTCACAGTTTCACTTAAAAATAAAAAGCTAAAATGCACAAAATGATATAAAAATAAACATATTATTAAAAATAAAATAAAAAGCTACAGTATTTTTCTTTTCTGAGATTTATTTTATAAACACATAAGAAAAGTTGTAGATTACTTGATCAGATTATGCAGTGACAATCTTCTTTGAAGCAAGTATGCTATTCTCACGATTACCAAAAACATTGACTTTTTAATTCTAAAAAGAAAGAATGGCTTAACTGCCTCACAGACAGTTCTAATTTGTGATAGAAGGTTTAAAAGCAATTGCTAATACATCAAGCTTATTTGTGCAGCGATTAATCTGTACGCCATGATTTGCTGCTAGCTGCCATCTAAATCGCCTCGTCAGCATTTCACCACAAGGTTAGAATGCCGCTGCTGGCAGAGAGGTGCTGCAGGGAAAGTTTCTCTTCGTCTCCTTGGGCTGCCCTCACTTTCCTCACCAACAGGACAAGAGTCCTCTCATCTACCCCTGGCTTTCTTTCCTCTTCTCCCAGGGCAGGTGAATGCTTTCTAAAACTATATATTGGATTACCTACATGATACTCCTTTACAGAGATGGGTAAGCCTTAGCTCAAGCAAATAAATCATCACAATTTTAATTTTACGGAGGTCAGTTGAGATTGCTTTCATTTATAAGCAGCTTGCACACTTCTAGATGATCTTCCTCTTTTTGAATCTGATGGTCTCAGCTAGTTAGACTAGCCTGCAGAAAGGTGTCAGAGCTGGGCTGGGTCACCACCATGCATTCCTTTTCTGTCACTTTTTATGCACTGCTTACTCTGGACTAGCCTGGTGGGAGAATACAGCGGTAACAACATGAAAATACCTGCTCACTAGGAGCTCACAGGCTAGAAGGAAAAAAAATGAAAATAAAGTATTGGGAGTACAAAGTGGAACAATAAGGACTGGCCTAATAAGGCCTTGGAAAGGAGCTGTTCCTGAGGCCGGGCGGGGGGGTTCTACACGCATCACACATTCACGGAGCAGCTGCCTGGTGTCAGGCGCGGCCCTAGGCCTGGGGCAGCCCCGTGAACAAACAGACGTGCTCCCTGCTCCCGGAGCTTACAGTCTGGCAAGGAGACAGAGGAGTAACAGGGAATTATACCCAGGGTACAGGTCTGCTGGCATGGGGTTACAGATAGACAGCTGGCATTAGACACACATCTTACTGAGGCAAGCATGACGGCATTTGCCTGAAAAAAAAAAAGTATTTTTTAATTTAAAAAGATAAGGAAAAAGGAAAAGCCACTCTGCCTGCTCTTCCACTCACTGAGCAGATGGGCAGATGACCCTGTGGTAAGCTTGTCGCTGCTGCTCCTGTGGCCTCAGCTCCCAAGGGTCTCTTCAAAGTGAGCTGCTTACTTGAGTGCTATTCCAACACTTAAAAAATAAGTGTTGTTCATACACCATGACCCTAAAGGGAAGCTGACCATTCGCCTGGTACTCACCCAAAAAAGCCACACTCAAAGCCACAGGGTAGGAAACACTCAGGCCGCACTGCAGCATGCTGCTCTTCCACACTGCACCTTCCCGGGCTTTGCTGGAGGAATTCCGACTACACTCCAATTTTCCCTTACTCTGCAGGGAGCTGACACTACTGCGAGGTAGTACCCTGAAACACAGCCAGGTCAACCTGGTTCTGAAGTCAGGGGTAACATCACGGAGAGGTCTGAGACTTGAGGATGACGTGAAAAGGAGAGGCCGAGGAGGGCTGGGGAAGTGTGTCAGAAGGGGAAGAGCACTGAGCAGTCTGGAAAGGTGGTGAGGTCCAGACAGATCCAGAGAACCAGTGGGCAGACAGCAAGGGAGGAAGGGACAGCAAGCCAGAGATACTACCAGAGACTAGAGATACTACCAGAGATACTACCTGGTCAGCCTGTCAGTGATCAGAGTTCAGAATTTATGCCAAAGACACTAGTGAAGTTTGAGAAGGGTTTTAAGCACGGGAATAAGTAAAATTCATCCCAAAGCACATGAAAAAATGCCCAACATCATTAGTCATCAGAGAAATGCAAATCAAAACCACAATAAGATACCAATTCACACTGAAAATTAGCCAATGCTGATGAGGATGTGGAAAAACTGGAACCCTAATATATTGCTGGGGAGACTGGAAAATGATGCCATCGCTTGGAAACATAGTTTGGCAGAACTTTAAGAGGTCACGACAGAGTTACCTATGGCCAAGCACTGCCACGTCTCGGTAAACAGCCCAAGAGCAACAAAACTCATGTCCACACCCAAGCTGTCTAAGGATGTTCAGGATAGTGTGTGTGTGTTTGTTTTTGATAGCCAGAAAATGAAAATAACCCAAATTGTCCACTAACAGGCAAACGGATAAACTGTGTTATGCCATCCAAAGGAATTATTATTCACGTGATTCAAAAAGAAATGAATTATTGACACACGCCACAACATGGATAGACCTCAAAGATGCTTAATAGAGAAGCCAGTCACAGACGGCCAGAGTGGATGATGCCGTTTATATGAAATGTTCAGAGACAGAAAGTAGTTAGTGGCTGCCTGAGCAGGAGGGAGAGCAGGGGCGTGGGGCGCGCCTCCTCACGGTCCGGATTCTTCTTGGTGATGGAAATGCTCTAAAATTGACTGTGGCGACGTGTACAACTCTGTGAGTAGACTAGAATCCAGTGAGAGGTACACTTTGAAAGGGGGACCTATACACTACATAAACTCATCTCAATAAGCAACAAAAGTTTATCTCGGCTGCCACATCAGAATGGAGGAAAGCAGAGGGAAGAGGCCAGTGGGGAGGTTACCACAGGGGTGGGGAAGGAGACAGTAGTTGAACTTAGGGGAGGTTTTTCTGGGCTTAGGCTACAGAAGGCTACGGGGGCTTCACAAGTTCTCCTGGGTGGTTGCTACCTCTTCCAAGAGAGCGTGGGAAACAGAAATGAGGTATCTGTAATTATTATCAAGCAGCAAAAACGTACTTTAAAATTTCAGGTTCCTGCCCACAGGAAAACTATGTAGCCCCGCTGCCCACATGCTGAGGAGGGCCCAGGACCAGATCATACTAGGCTATCTGCCGGGGGACTAGCCTGCCCCCCCACCCTCCAACGCCAGCATCAGGCCCGTGGCCTCCAGGGTACACCTAAGCAACTGCACGATCTGGACGCTTGAGGGTAGGCTGGAGAGTGAGACAGGAAAAGCTGAAAACTTTGGGAAATAACTATAAATCTTTAAAGACACTCTTCTGGGTTCTGTGTGTTTTTGAGAGTTGTGGAAAGGTCACGGAAGTGTTTTCCTTGGTTATATTAAAGACCCAGTTTTAATTCCATACCACCATCCTTCCAGAAAGTCTTCTTGACCTCTAGCCAGAGACTGCTGAGAGCAAAAAGGCCACAGGGCAGATGTGCATGACCTGGTGGGAAAGGGCCACACTAGAGAAGCCTAAGAAGGGGCATTTTCTGAGCACAGCAGAGACCACGCACCCTGGTCACAAAGACGCACTAGCACGTCAGACGGGGCTGGGGGGTGGGGGGTGCCCTGAGCTGTGTCCTTGATGCTTCCCCCCACCTGCAACAGCAACTAGTGCCAGCAGCCCGTGCAGTCCAGGCATGGGCAGAGCAGAGCACCACCGAGGCACCAACAGGAGCCAGAGACTCTGGTGCCAACCCAACCATTTGCTAAGTAACTAAACTGAGGCCCAGGCCGAGGAGCAGAGCAAGGGGCTGCATTCGGGGCTCTGACTCCCAGGCCTGTGCACTGCTCACTCTACCAACTCCCCAAGTCCAGACTCTCAGCGGTGTGTTTCACAGGGCAAGAGCAGCTGAGAAACCTGAGCCTTAGGTCTCAACTAGCGGAGCAAGCAGAATCAGCTCACGAGCTCTAGTCTTTCCAGAGGGGAAGGAGGAAAAGAAGGCTGACCCACAAAGTAGGAACAGTGCCCTGTCACTGCAGCTCACGAGTCCCACTTCACTAACAACAGCCCCACGTCCCGTCGCGCCACAGAGCGCGCAGCCACGACGCCATCTGCCCAGCCGCTGGCAAAGACGCCTGGAATCCAGGGCTGCCCTGGATGAGGACCGAAAACATCACAAACAAACAAGGGCTTACCATCTCTCGCTTGAAAGTTCTAGTGAATAGAAGTGAAACCCTAGTTTGAAGCCTGCAGAGAAATACAAACATTAACTACTTCAAAATAAAACTCAGATAAGAAGTCAAAGTAATCTACCACCTTTCTGGGATAGCATAATCTGACAGTTAGACATTAACTTGAACTAAAAGTTCTATATTATGCTATTCGCCAGTTCTGAAGAAGTATTCACATGCCACAACTTGGAGACAGAAAGATAGTATCAGTGTATCATTTCTAAAGTGATCCTTAATAAACAAGAGAACGCCATCTCCGATGGATGGATTTTTGTCCCCCTTCAGCGGCCAAGAAACAAGTTAAACTCTGTACAACAGACTATACAATTAGGGTCATTTAAAAATAATGAGACTCCTCTCTTTGCCTTCTTCTAAAGTATATAATATATATTTAACAGCACGTAAGAAGACACCACTTGAGCTTCCCTTGTAGCCAACAGGAAGTATTTTCACATATAAAAATTAAAAATTTAAACTTTTAAATCATTAATATTTTTTAACATAATACAGACTTAAAAATTGTTCAACATGAACCCATGACCCCACCCCTAGCACAAAAATCCACCCCAAATCCAGAAGTCACAGTTTTTTGTTCCTAAAAATCCCACAGCACTGAACTTGAGCCTCACTTCAAGCTGATGGCTAACAAGAGGCCCCTAACGGAGTCCCCAGGGAGGGTGGGCGCGACCACGCCGAGTCTCTCATCTACCTGGGCGACACTGGCGCACCTCTGAGGGCAGGTCCATGGGATTCGGCCCCACACTAGGGTCCTGGAAGGGTGAGCTGGCAGCTTCCCTCATCTTCCCCCTCGAAGGCTGTCCAATAAGCACCTGGGAATTGACTTTTCTTGGGAAAAGGGTGCTGGTAACAGCTGTCAGGGCCAAGGCAATAGTGAGAAGTTCAGTTCTCTGCTCTTTGGATGAACTGTGTAAAACATTTCTTTTAAAAGACACATTAAAAATATTAAGAAAAACCTCTACAAAATCTGGAGGGCTGCCTTTTCCTCAAAGGGTAAAGCTTGGGGGGTGAAGGGAAAAGAATTGAGGGCCCAGAACTCTAACTGCAGCAGAAGATCGACAGATGCCCTTCAAACGCTTCACATTCCTAAGAAGTCTCGCTGAAGCAGCAAGAGCTGAGGGTGACTGTATGCTAAGAGTGGGAGAGGCGCCGACTCCAGCCGGGAGGTTCCTACCAGCGCCCCTCCCAGAGCAAGAATGTCAGGTTTCCGGGCAGCTGCTCAGGGCCATCAAGACTCAGCCTCCGAGCCAGAGCTGCTTTCCCGACTAACTTCAATCTGGAGAGATGGTAAGTTATCTAACCGGCTCTTCTTTTGTCGAGACTGTTCTTTCTCCTTGATCAGAGCACCCCATGCCCTTTGCAGCTCAGAGTCATCTTCCTCAGTGCCAGGCGCTCTGTGCTCCATTTTCTTCATGTTCTTCTCTTTGGTCTTGGGTGCGGATCCTAAGCGAGTCCATAAACTCCCTGTTTGGAGCGAGAAGGCATTCAGTTGGACAGTGACTAGAGGGACGGGCTGCTGAGGGACGGGCGCTGCCAGCACCAATTCAGCAGAAAACACCGGGGGGCCCAGGCACTTGCATCTACTTGCAGCCGTGGACAGGTGATCACACTTCCCTGGATTCTGCCCTCTTTGTGCAGACTGAGGGGTCTGGACCCAGGGACACATCAGAATCACCTGGGTGGCTATTGATGCTCCACCTGCCCCTCGGTGACTTGCCATCCTGTGGACAGCCTCACTCGGCCAGAGTGATGCCCAGATCATTCCCAGCTCGAACATTTTACAAGATGATAGGTCTGCTACTCTCTAAACTTTCATAGATAATGCCCACTATTCCTTAATTTTTTAATATACTTTATAAATATCTAACTATAGAGAAGTACACATTTCAAATTTCATAATATTTCACACTATAAGATAATTAAGTCCTATGTATGAAGACTGCAGGATATGTAAAAATGATGGCAATAAAATGTTATATGAAAAAATAAGAAATGTCTATGGAAAAGCACCAGAATAACACGCAAGGAACTAAGAAGTCTTTGTGCTAAGCAGAAAGAACCAGGGGTGGGTTTTTCCCCTAAATTTTCCATGCTGTTCCAAATTATTGTTATGACAATGGTTAAAATGGAGGAGGCAAGCATATTATTTTGGTTTGTGCTATTTCCTGCCTTCTATTGAGAAGAATGTCCCGGCCACACCTGCTGTCCTCTCCCCTATCTAATTCCCATCCTCAATGAGTTTTAAGTGTCACCAACCTGATTTCTTCTCCCGAGTATCAGAGTAGAGGCCTTTAATGTCCTGCCTGGGAACACCGAGCCTACTATGCACATCAGAAAAGGGTTCTCTCCGCACAACTGGATTACCACCAAAAGACTTTTCTGGAGAATGTGGCCTTTTCCCCAACCGCTGGCGTATATCTAAAGAGAAAAAGAAAAGCACTACTGTGACCAAGGATGATGTGTATTTCACTGTCCACACTGTCAGCATGAGACAGGCTAAGGACCTGGTACCAAATCTCCCCAGGGAAGACACGGTTCTCGACACAAACCAAGCCTGCGTCGATGAGGTTCTCCATTTCACAATATAATGAAATGGACGGAAAGCCAAGAATCAAGAGAAGATATCCAAAAAAAGTTGATTTTTTCCAATCCCCCCAGAAATCTGCCTCTCCTCTTGAGTTCCCACTAAAGATAGCAGCAACAACAAAATGTTATATGAAAAAATAAGAAATGTCTATGGAAAAGCACCAGAATAACACGCAAGCCAGGTGCCAGGGTCTTCCCCACCCACTTTCTGCCCTAGAGAACAGCACCTCTACCTGAGCTGTGCCCGCACACCTGGGCCCCTGGCTTTCTCCCTTTCCTCCCTGTCTTCCCAGTGCAGTCTTTCTTGGCACCACAGTCTGACTCCTTACTTAATTAACGCTCTAGCTCACCCTAACTTGCCTCCAAGTTACCTTTATGAAACAGAAGACAGCATATAAGCTATCTAGTTTAAAGTCTTAACCATTTATACAACAATCCAAACCAATCAGTTTGGATTTCCTATTAGTCTTACATATAAAGTATAATAAAAACATACAGAGTAAAAGAAATGGTTTGGGACAGAAATATTAAAAGTGAGTATCATAAAAGTCTGATTAAGTTTTACGTCCTAGAGTTCCAATGCCTACTCCGAAATTTGTAAGTGATGAATCAGAAAAACTACATCAGTCTACAGATTTTCCCCAACTCTCCATTCCTGTCCTGCTTTGCTTTCTAGAGCTTCGAATGAGCCCAGAGTGATAATACCTGATTTAGTACTGCTGCCCGCTGGTCTTGGACGTGTATGCTGACGCTTCTCATCTAACAGGTGTCGGACATCTGCAAACTTCTCAGGCGGTAATTTGTTACCAATTCGGTTTTTGATATTACTTGTGGATATAGTATCTGCCCTCATGGAGTTCCTTTACAAACAAACAAACGAAAAAAACAGGCACTGTCAACCAACTTCAACTACGAAAAGACACTCATGCAACAATCTCAGGGCTTTGGAGAAAACAATACAAGAAACCCAATCTAATATGGTCAGCATCTGCTCTCCAATGTCATACACAGAAAGCCATTTGCCTGTAACAGTCACGGTCGGCCTGCTTGCTGTGAATTGGCTGCTGGCGTGAGCACAGTCCCACACGTGGTATCTGTAAGCTATCGCAGAGCACGTAGCTTCGCGTCCCTGTCTCTTGAGACACTGAGGGTCCTTCACAGGGCTCGAGGCTTGCTGCTCTCCCAGGCCGTGATCTGACTATAGTCAAGACACCAGAGTCTACACTCGTCTCCTGTAGGGGCACAATGCTCTGACAGAGTGATCGACTCCCGTGCTAGGAACCAGCATTATTCGGGTAGCCTTTGCCATCAGTAGTTTTCCAAAAACTTAATAAATATGTGAACAAAACCAGAGAAACAAGCCGGTCTGACTTTTGTTCCTCATATAGCACCAAGCACATTTAGGGAGAACACCAGTGACTCCGCCCTGTGCGCTGTGCACATGCTACTTGCTCTCAGAAATCTATTCATCCCTACTGGTAGTGAGAGAATGGCGTACTGAAATAATGTTCTTTTTTCTCATAAAATTTGAAAAAATTAGAAAGAATGGTAATATCAAAGGTAGATGAGGCAATAGGCAGTAGTGAGTAAAACCTTCATGGAAGCAAATGTAGCCAAACCACATATTAAAACATGTATATATTGCTTGGTACAAAGAAGAATTTCAAATTTCCATACAGTTCAAATTATTATAGGAGGAATTTATCTACAACAACAGTAAGCAACAGTGAGAAAATAAAAACCTAAACGTCCACCAAATAATGGACTATTTAGGCCCTCCCTGGTGGCGCAGCAGGTTAAAGCACAGCACTGAGAAGCTAAAGCTACTTCAGCATGAGTTTGAACCCCGCCTACCCCGGAAGTGACCACATGGCGTGGCAGACCTCTCCTGACCCGCCCTCTGCTCCCCTCAGCAGTGTACTTCGTCGATCTGCCTGTTCTGCTCCCCACTCCCGGTGAAGCCTCTCACCGCCCCTGAGCCTCTGGCCTGCACCCCAGTTCTGTATGCACAAATAAATAAAATAATAATAATAATAATGGGCTATTTAAATAAATGAAAGTTTCAACAGACATTAATTACTGTAGTTGGAAAATGACAGTAATGTGTGTCAGCATAATAAACAGAAAAAGCATAATGCAAAATAACAAACAGCATCTCTTCATTTCTATACCTATATGCTTCTACGTGTTATGTATATGCATAGTTGGAAGGTTCTTCACTTCTGATGTTATCTGTCATTTTTCTAACAAAGACTGACTTTTGTATATTGGAAGGAAAAAAATGGACACACTTATTCAAATTTTATAAAGGGCTAAATTTAGGACAAGTGATTATAAAATTAAGAGGAAGCTGTAATGAGTGTAAAATTAAATTAAAACCTAACATTACAAAAAGAAAATAGATTTACCTAATATTTTTCAACTGAGATTCCACTTCATCAGCATACATAGTCATTTTCATGCTTTTCTTTGGTGAAGGAGTGGAAATCATTTTCAGTTCTAGATCATAGTCCATTTCATCGGAGTCTGAGCTGCTGGCACTGGACCGCCGAGAAGCACTCCGCTCCCGGGTCTGCTTGAGTGCTGGGAGCTCCTCGTGGTACTCTACCACGACCCTGTCATCTGCATCCATGTCCTGGTCCTCCTCCTCTTCTTCCTCTTCCTCCTCTTCAATGGGTTCTTCTGGAACATTCACTAGTCCTAAGGAATTTAATTAAAAAAAAATTTAGGAAGAGCACTGAAATTAACAAATACGAGTTCCTATTCTAAGTCAGTGACCTTCTTAGAAGATGGGGTTCCCATGGCCGAGATCCAATTGGAGTACTATCTATAGTAGTGCTAAATGGTTGCCACTCTGAGACCAACAACAGGAAATGGCTAGGTAAAGTAGGCTCTGACAGGCATATGAAACATTTTAAAGTTACCTAAAATACAGTTGATCATCATTACTCACAAACTCTGTATTTACAAATCTGCCAAATGCATCTGCAAGGCCAAAACCAACACCTGCAGCACTTTCAGGGTCATTTGTGGATATGCACAGAGGGGTGAAACGTCCGAGTCAACAGACATGCATGTTCTCAGCTGGTCCAACAAAGCAACACTCTGCCTTCTTATTTGCTCTCTCCTATTATCCACAAGTGTCAGTCTACTGAGGACCATGTTTTCCACATTCCTAGGAATTTTGGGGGGGGGTGATTTCACTGTTTAAAATGGCCCCCAAGAGAAATGCCAAAGCTGTTCAGGTTCCTAAGGACAAGGAGGTTGTAAAATGCACCATGCAGAGAATACCTGTTAGACAAGCCTTGTTCAGGCATGAGTGACGGTGCTGCGGGCCCTTAGTCCAAGGCGAATGAATCAAGAGTATGTGTTAAAGGAGTCTTTCATCAGAAACCCACATCAGACACGCTTATGTACTGATCAGTTAAAGAAACGGCACCACCAGGACTCTAAATGGTTTAGCAATGTTACTTCAAGACTCACACAGATTTTATAGAAAGTACCTACCGCAAACAATGAAACTCGACTGTTACATTTAAGTTCATGAAAAAAAATGTTTAAGCTAAGTGGGAGAAGCAGAACAGAAGGTATCTATGTGTCTTCAACAGTACAATATTTGTTATAAAGACAAGAAAAGTAAAATGACATCAGTTACATTGGAAAGCTAGAAATAGGAGTCACTTGCATTTTAATGTCTTTAATATGAATATGAAGAAAATACATTAAAGTAATTGAAACTGGAAAAGTGTAACTGAGTAACAGAGAAATACATGCTTTACTAAGATGCAGATTTCAAATAAATGACTTGAGATATATACACTGAATTAAATTGTACAGGCTTCACCTCTCCCTGTTACAATGATAAATGTACCCATGTTCACATGCTGACTTGGCTAGCTCTGCAGAGCGTGTAGGACTCCGCAGATTAGGTCCAAAATGAAAACAAATCTTTGTCAACATAATGAAAATGGTTCTTTAACATAATCATGAAAAGGAAAAGAGGGAGGAAGGGAACCAAACGAAGCCCAAGTTACGATATCCCACTTTTCTCAGGCATTCTTATGCAAGAGCCAGTAAGTGCGGAACAGAGGACACGGCAGTCTGTTTGCGTTGTTAGACAAAGGAAAAATTAAATCAGCTTCTCGGATAAGAGGATTTTTAAAAGGGTTTTTCAGCAGTTTTTGATATCAGTAGAAAAATTAGATTCCTACAAAAAGTTTAACTTTCCCTTTTTCACACTTGGTCTTTTCTGTCAGAATAGCTTTTATAAGATCATTTGACCTCTTTGTATGGGCAACTTAAAGTTAACTGTGACTTGACTTACTTTCCTATATGTTGGCAGAGGGTGAGGGCAAGGAAGAGAGGATGATAAAGTTTGGAACCTTAAAAGACTGTATTAAGAATAAAAATATGATTTCGGGAGCCAAACATGTGTCTACCCAAGAGCTGAGCAGGCAACTACCGGAATGTCGGTGTTTATAGGACGCCAAGCCAACATCATCCCCAATCAGGGCTCTCTTCTTGATCACATCCCGCTGAATGCGACGGGAATGATATCTTCGCTTCCTGCAACATTGTCAAAATAAGCACATAATAAAAAAACAATAGGAAGGCCCTTGAAATCCACTAATTAATTCCAACTACACACTGATACAACTTTAGATGCTGGAACAGACACATTCGAAATAAAACCAAGTTCAGCATTCTCACACACCGTTTACCACCATTAAGAACCTTGACTTGTTCCTTCTTGCTTTCCTTCGAGTTTATACATGGTGTTGACATTCCACTGCAGAATATCAACTTCATGATTAAGAAAAGCTTAGGCACTATATAAGCTGTGAAATTTTAAGGTTCTGAACTCACCAAGAGTTACTAAGAATTCCTTTCATGCCTCCATAATTTGGATTCCCATATTTCATGTAATACTGACTTCTTCTGGCGGCACCAAGTTCCTTCTTGTCATCTAAAAAGTAATTATAAGAGTTAACAAGATTTCCTGTGGATGTGAAGACAATGTTGAATAGTTTAACAATAAATAAATAAAGGGATATTTTCCAGAGTTGGATCAGCATAATCTGCCAACAAAAATGAAAGACAGTGTCAAGGGGTGGAGCAAAGGGCAGAACTGAATGCGCCCAAACTGCTCGCTGCTCTTAAGAAGCTGGCTGACTTCACAGAGTAAATACTGCAGCAAGCAGACGAGCAACAGCATAAGATGCAAAGCTTTATGAGGCATGAAAGCTTCAATCACTAAAGGTGGACAAGAGTCAAAGGATTTCTAGGAGAGGTGGCATTTTCACTATCCCCTCAGAGATGATATTCATTTCTGAAGGACCATCTTCTAGTAACACAGAAGCAGTTAAAGAAACAGACTGGCATGATTTTATACATTTGGTAAACCATTTTTTTCAATTTACCATATGCTCCTTAACATGGCTTAAAGAAAACAGCTATAGTACCAAATATCTAGAATGCACTGAAATGGCCACTCTCAAACGAGTAAATGAAAAACTATTCCATTTGTCAAGTTAAAATGCCCAAATAATGTGAAGAAAGGTGGCGAGTGATCACACATATCTGCATAATCTAAAGGCCTTTCACAGTTTCTTGGGCACTAGCTGACGACAATGGACAACACCACTGTGAATATATCCAGTGCCACAGGGGAACTGAGCGGCACAAGCAGATGTAAGATCATGCCACTTGCTCCTTGGAGAAATGGCTGGCTGATATAGATCTGAGGCAGGGAAAGTACAAGTTGAATCTGGAAAAGCGAGATGTTCTGTTGTGTCACAAAGTAGAAAAATGCTCAAAGAATCAAGAAGTATATAAAAACACGGCTTGAAGGGACTCTAGTAACTAAATCCAAGACAACTTGTGTATTAAACAATGACAGTAAAGGAACAGAGTGTAATGAGTAAAATAAGCCTCCATGAGTCTGGTACATAAGTAGGTTAAAAAAAAAAGAATAAGAAAAAGTTCTTCCCCACAACACAAGGGACTATGGTGATAGTGCATGGGTGAACTGTTGGTGGGAATTTCATGGGGACAATACCAGGGAGGAGAAAGCATACATTGTACAAAAATGAAGAATGATGTAAAAACTATATTAAATAAAAAGCTCTTCCCACAGCAGAATGCCAACTAGTGAAGAAATGGAATTTTAAAAAATCATCAATGGATGCTTACGCTATTGTTTAAAGTCTGGTCATCTATAGGCTATTTACATAATCTCAAAGTATCTTCCCACAGTTATTTTATAACAGAAAAATAGTTACTTCACAATGGAGAAACCTGGTAATCATCACCCTAACCAAGTGATAAAAGTAAATATCTCTGGGAATGGAATAAATAAATATCACATGATTCTTGATTTAATGCAATGAAAATGACGAATATTATTCTACAGTGATTTTGTCTAAGATGCATAACCCAAATTTGATCAGGAGGAGACAAACACTATAAAATAGTGAGCCTATAATCTTTAAAAATATCTCAGTCAAGGGTCCTCCCTGGTGGCGCAGCGGGTTAAAGCACTGTACTAAGAAGCTAAAGCCACTTCCGCATGAGTTCGATTCCCGCCTGCCCCGGAGGCGACCACATGGCGAGGCAGACCTCTCCTGACCCGCCCGCTGCTCCCCTCAGCAGTGTACTTCATCGACCTGCCTGTTCTGCTCCCCGCTCTGTCTCTGGTGAATCCTCTCACCCCCTGCACCTCTAGCTTGTACCCCAGTTCTGTATGAATAAATAAATAAATCTTTAAAAAAAAAATCTCAGTCAAGAAAAACAAAACAGAGGAGTTGTTTCAGATTCAGGTTTGTAGCAGACAAGGCATTCTTAAACACTCAGCCCAGGAACAGATCCTGGATTAGTGGGGGAGAGATATAAAGGATAGATATAAAGATATACTTGACATATATCATCATCATCACCATCATCAAGGTCTAACACTTAATCACTATATGCCTGGCAGTTTTTGTGTTTTTTTTTAAAGATTTATTTATTTATTCATACAGAATTGGGGTACAGGCCAGAGATGCGGAGGGTGAGAGGATTCACCAGGAACAGAGTGGGGAGCAGAACAGGCAGATAGAGGAAGTACACTGCTGAGGGGAGCAGCGGGCAGGTGAGGAGAGGTCTGCCTCGCCATGTGGATCTCCCCCAGGCCAGGCGGGGATCAAACTCATGCGGAAGTGGCTTAAGCTTCTTAGTGCTGTGCTTTAACCTGCTGCACCACCAGGGAGGGCCCATGCCTGGCAATTTTAATATAACCAAGGAAATTATTGGAAAAACTGACAAAATCTAAACATGGACTATGGATGAGGTAATAGTAATTAGATTAATGTATATTTCCTAATTTTTATAACTGCTGTGTGTAAGATAAAGTCTTTGTTTTTCAGAAATATATATTGAAGGGTAAAGATTCAGGGGAGAAGAGTTATCATTGTCAATTAATTTTTAACTGATTTGAATATTTATGACCATCAAAAGTCACTGTGCATAAAAAGCCTTACAAATCAGCGGCCTTTAATTTAATTCCTTAGAGAATAAAAGCTCATGACATTATCAGCAATGTCTAGGTAAGTGAAAAAATAAAAATTTTAAGTTTTCATAGTTCACACGATAAAGGGCTAGAAAGCACATGAATCAAACCAGCATTAACAGAAACAACTTTAGCCAAAAATAAAAAATATATACCAACAGTTAATATTCACTTTCAAAGTAAAAAATGCCAACTCAGGTAACAAGTCATCATTTCAAAGCACAGATTATAATGGCTTGAAGGGACTTTGAAATTACTTGATCTAACTCCCAACGTGTAAGAGCAGGCAGGATGTAATTCAATAATACGTCACTTTAACTAAAAATAAAAACTCAATGCCAAATGGACCTCTATCAAATTTACCTTTTGTAGCAAATCTCATGAATAACCTATTTCCTTTAGCAAGTTTGTTAGCAGGACGAAGATCGTTTCTTAGCAGCGATTCTTCTTCTACCTGAGACAATGTGTCCAACTAAGAAAAGAGAGCATTTCCAATATTAAAAATAGAGTTCTTTAAAATATTCATTTAGCAGCAAAGCTACCATTAATTCAAAAAAGCATTCTACCTTTAATAACACGCATCAGCATTACAGAGCTAGCTCCTCCGCTGACTGCTGAGTCAGAGGTCTTCCCTCACCACCTGTCTAAAAGAATAGTCTCCACATTCTCTATCTGCTTGCTCTTCTTGTTCTTCACAGCACTCATCACTTCCTGACACGGTATTACATACATGTCTGCGTATCTGTGTACTCTCTCTCTTCCCCACTAGAATGTAGGCTCCAAGAGGGCCAGGACTTTGTTTGGCTTGATGCTACAGCCCCAGCGCCTAGAATTTGGTATATAGTAGGCACTCAGTAAATAATTTTTAAATGAATACATTTAATACTTCCAACATCAGTACATAATCCATTAGGAGGTCATGATTTGCTTTTTCTTAATTTGGGGGGGCAGACTAGATAAAACTTCAAAGTAATTTCTCAGTTAAACCGTTTTCTTTAAGACAGAAGTGTGAGAACTAGTCTAAGATCTCAAGGTGAATCATTCATTACAGTCACAGAGGCCAAGAGCCCAGGGCACATTCAGGAAGTCTAGCTGTGAAAGCCAGAGGAAGAACACAACTTACCAAGTCTTTAATTCTTAAATGAAAAAAGAAAGTGAGCAGATTTGGTTTTGTTTTGTTTTTACAGTAAAACCATACATACCTTGCCCTATTACTAACCTCTAGATCACTTGTATTCTCATCTTCAACTTCTCCTTCTTCAGCTTCATCATCATCTGAACTGTCTTCCTGCTTGTCTAAAATGGAACATGTGGAACAAGATGAACCTTAACAAACCTCAATTTCAGATAATTTTAAAATCCTACACTTTCTCCTCCTATTCATTGACCATCCAAAGCATCCTAGCTTACTTCAGAAATAATTGGTGCCAATGTTATACAATGCTCTATACACAAACCAACTGTGCAAAGAAGACAGACGTTTAGCCAAAAAGTCCTTCTGTTTCCAGTTACCTTTTTTACTTTTCTCAGAAGACTTGTCCTCATTGGCATCCCTGCTTCTTATCTTATCCAGGGCTGGCAGAGAGCTCATATTGATAAGAGCTCGTGTGGCTGTCATTTCATCCAACCAAACCACATTACCTAAAATGTAAAATACAATATTACACTGGGCCCTCCATGGTGAGGCAACTGGTTAAAGTGCAGCATTATGAAGCTGTCCACAGCCACTGCAGCACAAGTTCCATCAACAGCCAGGTGGATGGCCCACATGGCGCAGCAGACCTCTCCTGACCCGTCCACTTTTCCCGTCCATTTCAATCAGCCTATTCTGTTCCCCACTCTGTCTCTGGTGAACCCTCTCACCCACCCCACCCCCACACCTCCAGCCTGTACCCCAGTTCTCATATGCATAAATAAATAAATCTTTTTTAAAAAAAAAAGTTACACTGTGCCAAAATAGCAAGTTTCTTAAGATCATAATACTCATTACTACAGTTTCACTGGCTATAGATTGGCATCAGGAAATGTACAAACCAACTAATGAAAGGAAGTACAAAAAGTGATGGTAGGGCCCGCCCTGGTGGCCCAACGGGTTAAAGCACAGCACTATGAAGCTGTTAGCAGCCCCTGCAGCACAAGTTCAATCCCTCCCCCCGGAGGTGAACCACATGGCGTGGCAGACCTCTCCTGCCTGCCTGCTGCTCCCCTCAGCAGTGTACTTCGGTCCATCTGTCTGTTCTGCTCCCTACTCTGTCTTTGGTGAATCCTCTCACCTCCACCCCATACCTCTGCTTGTACCCCAATTCTTGTATACATAAGTAAATAAATAATTTTTTTTAAGTGGTAGTAAAATTTTCTTCATGAAATTAGCCTAGAAATGCATTCCTAAAATAGGTTCCATAAAATAATGGTCAAGTATGCCAGGGTCCCCTATGTTAAAACTATCTTGCACACAGTGCTTTATAAGCCTTTGCAGTTTATGATAATAATAATGGTTTAGATTACTCTTTAGACTACTGCCCTCTACAGGAAAGCCTTCCACTGTTCCTCTTCATTCAATGTTAAAGATGCTCCCTATTGTAAAGTGTGGGTGATGATGGTATCCATCAACGGAGGCAAAACAATCACTTAGTAGTAGCAACTAATTTGCTTCTGTAAGGAAGAGAACAAAAAAAGGGCTTTGGGAAGTTTTGTTTATGTTTAAAATAGAATTTCCCAAACTTTTGCTACCCCTATAGCTCAGTTTGGGAAACGAAGTTCTAAAAGATTCTTACTTTTGTTACTAACATTTCACATAGTCTTGGGCAAACAATCTCTTTTTTCTGTTTCTCAGTTTATAGTGGACATTATGAGGTAGCTGAACAGGATAAATTCTAAGGGTTCCCCTGACTCTACTATCCCTTGCTACAGTTTTAATGACTTAAATTTACAGATCAGAAAACTGTAATCTTCAGGCCAGTCCCATACCACTACTGGTTTTTGTTTCTATTACACCAGCTTTATTTTTGTAAACAAAGTTCTATAGAAACCAGCCAGGCTCATTCCATTACATACTGTCTGTGAACGCTTTTAAGTTACAATTGCAAAGTTGAAGGGATGTGACAGACTTTATGGCCCACAAAGCTTAAAAAGTTCTACATAGCAAAAGAATTCCCAATCCCAATTTGGATGGTATAAATTAACCAAAACGAAAAAAGGTAAAATATCTTTTAGTAGTCATGTTTCTTCTTTCAATGAAAACACTACACAAGTATCTTCTAAAGAAAGCATTGCTGTTTGGTTGCCTGGTAGGTTGACAAGCGGTCACTAAGTAAAGCCAGGCGAGGAGTGAGTTAAGACAAGCCAGGAGAATGGTTACCAGAGGTCAGGCCAGACTTGAAACAAAAAAGCAAGTTAAAAATTACAGTTAGTTCTCAAGTTGGAGAGCTCCCGGTTTAGACCAGGCAGGTGAAGATACAAAAAACAGCCCAAGCAAGCAGAAATAACAGAGGGTTCTGGTCCAGTTCTAGGTCAGAGACAGTGCAACAGAGCCAGCTCTCCCTGTAGCTAGATAGCAAGTTACAAAGACAAAGTTTAAACCCTGAAAACACATCCCCAAGTCTACATGGTTAGGCTTATCCCTGTGTTGGGAAATCACTAGTGTTTCAGAGACCTCACTTATGGTCACTGACTCGGATGCTAACAGTGAACCCCTATAGTCCTGGTTACCACCTCTGCACTGACTCTGAATACTCTTGGGATCTGATCTGCAGACTATATAAGACTAGTTCTAGTTCCATCAATGGGCAATTTCTCACCAGGGCTAACAGTGGACAGTAGAGTCCAAATCATTATCATTCATCACCTGTGATGGCAAAAACACTTTTGAAATCATAAACAAAACCATATTCAACAGAAATGAGTATACTTACAAGAGGTATCGTCCAACCATTCAATGTGAGCTGGAGGATATTCTTTAAAATAGGAAAAGATATCCTGTGTACTCATCTCATCCACTCCACAAATATAGATTGTCTCTAGTCTCACTTTTGGGATTGCTAAAAAAAAAAAAAAAAAAAATGAACTTTCTCACCTGCTCACCTGCTTCTTACTGCACAACCCATCAGTAACCATTTGCAATAGTTCAGAAAATATGTCTTTAGAAGACAACATATTGAAAGAGATGACAATTACTTCAAAAGAAAATGAGACATGACAGCAAGGTAAACTATTTCAATTTTTATCACAGAACAACAGCATTAAACAAATTATTTCATTCAGAACAGGCATATTAGATTGAGAAAGATTAAGTAGTGTTGATAAATACATGGCACTTCTCCCCAAACTAACCTGTAACAATTTAATACCAAATTTAACAAGATTATTCATTAAACTTGACAAGCTGATTCTAAAGTTCACAACTATATGTCAAAGAGAAATGTGCAAGTCAAAACAAGTCAAAAAAAGAAGACGTGTTGCCCCTATATATAAACCAAAGTATAAAAGTAGAGTAAATCCTACACATCAATAAAAAAATGACAGCCCAAAACAAAAATGGGCAAAGGACAGGAGCAGGCAACCACGCGAAAGGCCAATAAACATGAAAAGGCAGTGGGCCCTGAGCAGGAGGCGCTTGCTCAAGCCAATTTTCACTAACCAGATTTCTTAAAATTTCTTAGTAACAACTGCTAGCACTGTGTAGGGTAAGAGCCACCCTCCCTGCTGATGGGAGTGTGAACTGGCACAGCCACTCTTAAAGGTAAATAGGGACTGCCTCTTACAAATGTCATTGAGCAGAAGCCCTGGAGGTTTAGGATTTAGTCCTCATTACCCTAAACACATAGCCCACACAAAGATGATTTTTTTTGTAACACTGTTTCCAGCAATCTCATAGCTATCAGAGTAATTAGTGATGATTTATTCCATTATAGTGTATTATGTAGTTAAAAACAATGAGATAATAAAATTATATGCCATGAAAGATTCTAAGACATATTGCTTTGTGAAAAAAGCAAGTTGCAAAAAATTACATCTAATAGTAAAAATAAAAGTAAAAACACAAACACCACCACACATTTTCTAAGGGTACATGTCTGTCTACACAAACACCAAGAAAAAGGCCTGGTATGAGTCATACCATGTTGTAACAGTTGATACCTCTGGGGAGGGAAGAAGCTGTAGTCAAAAAAAGAATCGCAGCCTTACCAGGAGTATGTTAATTTTTTGCTGAATACTTTATCTTATTTAATCTTTTAAATTATGAAATAATTTAAATAAAACAAGAAAAAAAATCATTTAAAAATACCTGTATACTTACCACCTAGTTTTATACTTCTTTTAAAATCTGAGGCAGGGCCCTCCCTGGTATTGCACAGTATTGTGAAGCTCTCTGCAGCCACTGTAGCACTAGTTTGATCCCCAGCCAGGGAGCTGACCCACATGGCACAGCAGACCTCTCCTGACCTGTCCGCTGCTCCCCTCAGTGGTTTATTTCATTTTAATCTGCCTGTTCTGCTCCCTACTGTGTCTCTGGTGAATCCTCTCACCCCCTGCACCTCTGGCCTGTACCCCAGTTCTTGTGTGCATAAATAAATAAATAAAAATCCGAGGCAAATAAAACATTACATATAAAACTAGGGCCTGTATAATCTCTCTACGTCCCTTCCATCCCCTCCCTTCTCAGAAGTAATTCTGTCAAGAATTCAATGTCCATTACTTTCAAATGCTTTTGTGCTATATATTACTTTTATTTATAACAAATACATTTTAAAATATAAGTGATGATGATGGCACACACGTGATGTGTTGATGGGAAGCCCACGGGGATTACAGCTGAGATGGAAAAATGCACAAAATGATGTAAAATAAACAATTATATTATTTTTTAAAAATACAAGTGAATATTTTTTCTTTATTTTTAGAACTGGAGTGTAGACCCAGAGGTGCTAAGGATGAGACGATTCACCTGAGACAGTCAGGAGCAGAGCGGGCTCTGTTCTGCTGAAGGGAGTAGTGGGTGAGACAGGAGAGATCTGCTGTGCCATGTGGATTAGCTCCATGTGGGTTAGCTCCCTGGCCAGGGTTTGAACTCATCCAGTGAAAGCTAGTGAAAGCTTGACAGCACTGAACTTTAACCCTGTGCCATCAGGGAGGCCCAATGGTTTACATCACTGCATATGCCTTAGGGGAATAGGCTCACATGGCCGCAGGGGTATGTCGCTATACCACCCCTACCATCCATCCGAGCACCCACAGTCCTTTACCATAAAACCATTGTGTCCCCTCCCCTCTTTGTCTCCATGTCCCCCACCTTCCCAAGTAGTCTCAGTTCTGCCAGGTAAAAATAATTTGAATAGTTGTTGTGGCAGGTTATACTGAAGAATAAAGTTTGGTTTAATGGGAGCCCATGTATGTATGACCACAGCAGATCAGGTAAGTTTCCTTCCTGCCAGCCAGATTCATGAAACAAAAGACATCATCTTATGAACCCCAGCACGCCATCAGAAGCGACCCACAGTGCAATAGCGAGCAGAGGTCCAAATGAGTTGGGACGCCACACATCAGAGAAGTCTGACATTCTGGATGGGAAGAGGAATGGTTTAGTCCAGGGGCCCACCTCAGTTCTCTGAGTTGTAGTTAAAAGAAACATGTTATATAAATTTAAAAGATGGTTCTAAAGAAGTTAACCGAGAACAGGGAGATCGCCTAGAGATGGTAGAGAGACTGAGGGTTAGGGTGAGGAGAAAACATCTTGCAGGAGACTTGTTGATCTAGGAAGAAGCATTTAATCATAAATGAGACAAACAGAAAAGAAATAACAAAAATATCAAAAACATGGTAGCATTTTTCCAACAAAACATTAAAAAATCTACAATAAGGAAACAGTCTGACAAAGGGAAAAATGTAAGGAAAGAAACTTCCGGCCTCGAGTGTTTATTTTAATGAAGATAAAATAGCAAACACGTCTAAAATTGAGCAAGGGACAACTTTGTTCAAAAGATAAGGTTAAAGAAATTAAAAAAGAGATGTAGAACCCGTATGACTGCAAAGATAAACTAGTCTCCACCAGCTAGGGTACAAGAAAGGTTCAATCTCAAAAGAGAACTACAGGGACAATGGCAAGACCCAGGAGGGATGGAAACTTGGTTAAAATCGTATGGCTGGCAGACTGCCAAAGGAGAAATACTTCCTCCCAGTGCTGACAATGTTACTGTTTAAAATAAAACAAAGCAACAAAGAAGGTCCCCAGAAACAGACCCAGCTAGGCAAAGGGCTAACTGCTGAGGCAGCAGGGCACATGCGGCGGGAATGTGGCCTAGGCAGACTTCACCAAGTGCTGACTGAAAGCTCAGCAGTGAGGGCATTATCCAGGGTAGCCTAACAGGCAATGGTAGTAGGTGGTGGCACATAAAATGTCTCTAAGAGAGCAGATTTCTGAAAATCCAGAGCAAAAATCCAATCCCAAACCGCCAATCCCAAAGCCCTCAGATTGGGCCCTCCCTGGAGGCGCAGCGGGTTAAAGCACAGCACTGCAAAGCTGGCCTCGGCCGCTTCAGTGCAAGCTTGATCCCTGCCCAGGAGGTGACCACATGGTGCGGAGGTGACCACATGGTGCAGCAGACCTCTCCTGACCCGCCTGTTGCTCCCCTCAGCAGTGTACTTCATCGATCTGCCTGTTCTGCTCCCCACTCTGTCTCTGGTGAAGCCTCTCACCACCCCTGCATCTCTGGCCTGTACCCCAGTTCTGTATAAATAAATAAATCTTAAAAAAAAAAAACAAAAAACCCCTCAGATTATGACCAAAACACCCAGGAGATGAAGACGTAGAAAGGGCAAATTACGAATGACAAACATAATAGAGTGAAAGAAATATAGGAATCTGAAAGATCAACATAAAGCTATATGAGGTAGAAGAAAATGCTGATGACAGACTGTCAAGTGAAAAGGAAAAAGTTTTAAAACTACAAAAGGAAAAACCAAGTAAGTCCACACCCAGAAAAGATTAGAAGGAATTATACAAAATGCTGACCATGACTCAGTTTGGGTAGCAGACTGTGGATAACTTTTCTTCTTATACTCTCCAATTTTTCTTTGGTTAACATGAATTGTCTGTATAATATTTAATGAAGAAAAGTTTACAGTCCAGAATAAACAGATTTATCAAAAATGCTGATGGCTTGTTTTAGTATTTGGAGTGAAACTGCTTTGGAAAGACCAGTCAAGTAAAAGGCAGAACTGCTTATCCATTTTGCTGTTCTACTAACTGACAGACTAGTTAGTATTAAGAACTAGGACCCAAGATAAGTGAAAAGAGCACAGAACAACACCACCATGTACTGATCTGAACACTCAGCTGCAATTTCAAAATTAGATAGTAACCTTCAATTATGTAGGTAATGTCTAAAAAGTCACCAAAAAGGGGCAAAGTTATATAACCCTTGTCAAGGGTTAATCCTGAAATGCATTTCATAAAAGAGGAAATGATAAATTCTCAAGCAATAAATTGAAAAGATTGTCATCTCTGAAGTTTAAAAAAAATTTATTGAAATCTACAATCTATGATAAAGATATATTATGTCATTATAGGAAATGATATGAGTTCACTCTCAAGTTCATTAAGTTATGTAATCTACTTCCTTGTAGCAATAAAATGAAATATGGGCCTGATGTCAGAATATAACATAATTCATGGATCTATGCTTCATGGCATAAAACAGAATTGTTCTGTTCAACATTTACCTACAACTGAAGGAAGATGCAGAAGTTGTACACACCAAAGGCTGTTTGAGTGAAAATGAACTTAGCAGATTACAGTGGAGTCATCAAGCTGACAAAATGTAAAAGGATAAATAAAAATTTTTTTGCTCTTCAAATATAAAATTTTTAAAAAAGTATATTCTGATAGGTATAAATCTCAGGGAAAGACCTGGATCTTTTGGTTGACTAAAGTATGAGTGAAATAGCTGGAACAAAGACTACAGGAATAGTCCTGCCACACTCCTATGAATCCAACCATATCAGGAATCCATACCTCACCTTAGGGAGAACATTTAGAAACTAGAAAAAGTCAAGGGGAGGGAGGCCAGGGAGTAATGTCACTCAAGGCTTAGGGCAATAAACGTCATTATGTTTTACTCTAAGCCCTCTAGAGTCAGCAATGTCACCAGGACACCTAAGTGCAGCACAATGATTTTAAACTGTAGCTTTTGGGAGGCAGAAATAAGGGTATACATTGTAGAGAGAAGAAAACTTAGGGCAGAAAGAAAATGGCAGTGAGCCCACTGCCTCACCTAAAGGTGTGAGAATTTCGTACTGTGTAAATAAGCGAAGGGTTTAAAGTTTTTTGTTTTGTTTTGTTTTAAGATTTATTATTTATTTATAGCATACAGAGCTGAGCCAAAGATGCAGGGGCGGTGGAGGATTCACCAGAGACAGAGCAGGGAACAGAACAGGCAGATCGTTGAAGTACACTGCTGAGGGGAGCAGCGGGCGGGTGGGGAGAGGTCTGCCGCGCCATGTGGTCACCTCCCGGGCGGGAAATCAAACTCATGCTTAAGTGGCTCTAGCTTCTCAGTACTGTGCTTTACCTGCTTGCGCCACCAGGGAGGGCCCCGGTTTAAAGTTTTAAGAGTCTTACTGTAACAAATTACCAGACAGCAACTTCTGTTGAGCATAAAGAAGTATCCAAAATTAAAACTGACTGCCTCATAAGCAGCATACATACATTCAGGCAGAAGCTAAGAGACCACTGGGAACTTTGCCAAAAGGCCTTCAGCAATGGACAGAAGGATGATCGGTGTAGATGACCTCACATGTCTCTTCAGGCAGGAGAGCTCTGATCTTGGGGAGAAGGAGACTGAAGCTGCCTGACACCCAATCACTTGAGACTAACAATGATCTGATGTGGAATGGCCTAATGCATATATCCCACCCAGCGCCCCTGAACCTAGAAGAGGTTAGCAACACGAGTGTCAGCCAGACAGGCCTTGAAAGCCCAATCGTGTTACGTATCTAGTTGTGGGACCTGACAACTCTCTCAAGCTCTCGGGCATCTTAGTTTTCTAACTAGTGAAACACAAATGATACTTACACCTCAAAGAGTTGTTGCAAGGAAAAGTTAAACCATAGCAAACATTTAACAATTTAACCTTTTATTTTTGTTGGCATTAAGGAGAACTCACTTGACACCTGGTTATGGTTACAGGAGTCAAGATACTTATTCCAAGACCTCCATTCTCCCAAAAGATTGGCCATCACTACTGGGAAAATGGAGAATACCACCAACTTTACGTGGGTACTCACTCTCTTCCAGACACTAAGAACTATCACATTTTCTAAGAGCCTCCCAACAATCTGTGATCTATAAGAACTACTGTGATCTGTCTTTCTAGATGAGGAAATTGGGTTTTTAGAGGCTAAATAACTTGCTGAGGTCACAGAGCTAGAAAGTGGCAGTGCAGGATTTAAATATAGACATTCAGATTTTAGAACCCAAACTCTTGGGCCTCTCTGGTGGCCTAGGGGCTAAGTCTCAGCACTATCACTGCTATGTCCTGAGTTCGATCCCCGGACAGGGAGGTGACCCACAAGGCACAGCAGACCTCTCCTATCTTGCCCACTGCTCCCCTCAGCAATGTGTTTCAGTTATCTGCCTGTACTGTTCTCTCTTGTTTCTAGTGAATCCTCTCACCCACTGTACCTCTAACCTACAGTTTTTGTATGCATGATAAAAAAAAAAAATCATCTCAACCATACCACCAACGGTTTTCAATACTGACTATATTTGAATTACATGCGGAAATATTAAAAATAACTCCCTCTGGGACACTCCTGCCCCCACCATCAACTGTTCTCATATAAACTGATCTGGAATAGGCAGGAAGGGTCCCCAGAGTTCAGGAACATGGCCCTAGGCCAGGCTGCCTCCTGGGTGGAAAAAAGATTGTAATGAGCAACTTGCCTCAGCTGATATCCCAGGCAAATCTATTGCTCTGTAGGAATAGCTTTTAGAACCTCAAGATTAGGACTGCTTTTCCAGAAACAAACGTATTCTCAAATTCAAATTTAACCTCCAATGTAAGCCTATGCAAATAAGTATCATATTACAGAAAAGGAGACAGAGATCTAGAAGAAGTTCAATTTGCCCACATTCACAAAGGAACTGCCACTAGATTCTGGGGGGGGAGGGGGGGGGGTTGACCTGGCATCTTAATGAGTTCCAGAAGAATCAGAGAGAAATCTGAGTGGTGAGTGGGCAGTCAGGGTTTCTTCATGGAAAAGTGGCATCTGAACTGAATGAAGTTTGAGACAAGGAAGAGCAAATCAGCAGGGTATGACACATGAACAAGAGAGGAGGCAAAATATCACAAGGCATGTTCCCAGGACGAGAAGGAAACAGGTGTGGTGAAACTTGGGGCCTTCAAGGGAGAGCTGTGAGAAAGGCCTCAGAGGTCTGCTCGGGCCTAGGCTACGCAGGCACATGAATACCAAGCTGCACAGCTGTCCCTGGCCCCAGCCTTCATAGGACTTTTCCTGAGACAGAAATCCACTCAAACAGATGCCTGGAATCCCAGTCTGCAAAGTAAACAAGGTCATATTTCCAACTTGAACTCATGATACAGGTAAAAGAACAATGTCTAGAGTTGAGTTCTGCACCCAAGTTACTCTGTCTGCCAGGAAGAACTGAGGAGTGTCATAACATCTAAGGCAATAGAGCAGAGCAGTTGAGGGTATATGTTTAAGGCTTTAGAGTCAAATAAGCCTGGTTTTGAAACTAGTTTCACTAGCTGCATAACCTAACCCTGGGCAATATACCTCCCTGACAAAATAGGGTAAAAATACATTCCTCGTTGTGCGAAATGAGTAAGAAACAAATATGTAATGTGTCAATTAACACACTGTCTAATAGGGAGGCAAATACTCAGAAAGCAACAGCTATTCTTCTATTTGTCCAACATTTTCTCCTATCATCGAAACAAGTCTAGAGAAACTCAGGCAGCACAGCAGAGGCGGCTTGACAAATACTTAAATTTTCAAATACAAAAGAGACACCTTTTGCATTCATCAATTTATATTAGAGTAGAATAATAAATGTGGCTATGAAGTCATTAAAACACACAACAATTTTCCCTTTTATTTATAAATTACTTTGGGAGACTGGGGCAGATTACTGTATATAAGTAGGATGAACTCTAGGAAACAAAATACCCTAACAAAACACAAAACTAAAATAAAATCACAAACCTGTATCAACAAAGATATTAGCAGTTTCCACCTATCAACCCCGACATTACTCTGACTCCCCTAAAAAAAAGTCTCTCTAGGACACATTCCCACTACATTTAAAGGCAAAGAAAAGCTAACACTTCTACGCCAAAATGAGAAAATGAGTTAAGAGTCGTAGAAGCATGTGTTCTAATCTCAGCTCTGCCACTAACTGGGTGACTTTCTCTGGGCTTCCTCAGACAAGACAATCTCTTTTTATCCAACTCTAACATCTGACACACAGCAGCTAACAGCTACTCAAAGTTTAATAGGTCACCTCAGAAATGGAGAATTCACAAGTGTCTTCCTTTCAGAGTATTTGGATGCGGCATGGACATACAAGACAAGGTCAATAGTACAATACCCTGGGAGGGGAACGTCAATCTTTAGAGGAATGTGGAAAGTTCCCCCAAAACGCCATGTACCTTTCTTCATCATGTCCCGGTCCAGAGCTACGTTTCTTTGGGCAAGATTTACTTCAGATCGAAAATGGAAGCGCTTGGCTCGCTGTTCTTTCTTTTCAATTGCTTCCTGGAATGTGGAGAAAAAGTCAAAGAAGTGAAACATAGGAAAATCAAATCACAAGCACAACATAGTACATCAGCAACAAGCTTGAAATAAACCAGAAAAAAGAGCAACATTGTGCATTTAATGATTTTCTTCAGAGAACTAGATATTCAGTCAATGACTAGAAGAATGTACACTGATACCACTATAATTTGTAGCAACCTCCATGATGATTCCATGCCTATGAATGTGTTGGGGGTATTATGGGAACTCAACGCATAATTATTTGTTGATTCAATGAGTAATGAGCAATACTTTAGTTCCCTGACATTTTATTTATTATTATCCATCATGTAAACAAATCAGAATCAAACCATCTCAGCACCCCAAGTCCCCTGGTATACAAATTGAGATACAAAAAAACCTAAAAGGTTTACTGGCAGTACTTCCGTTAGCAAGAGGGGCAGATGTTCTGATTTCAGTGCTATTTCGAGAAGCCCCACCACCTCCATTTGACATCGCCTGTGTGCAGGGTAATCGCACCTATCACATTCTTCCACATTACGTCTGCCTGAGCAGTCCACTCCCTAAAGCTCTTTCTGGTTTAAAAATAACATTGAAAGAAAGGAACTCTCCTCTATTCTAGGCTTGTGTCCATGGAATTGCCAGTTTTCATCGTTAAATGACAAGAAGCATTGACACGTCCTTGAAAAAATAATCAGCTTCATAAGTTCCTTTTCCAAAAGCTAAAATAAATCCAGGTCCGTGGGTTTCCAATAGCTCTTAGGAACGCTTCGCTAACTGTATAGTGACTTCGGCACACTTACTGAAGGTCTGATTATATAAAGCTGTGGAATTGGTAAAGCACAACACTTGTGTTAGTTCCCAGAGCTTATGCTATTCTTCTTCACTGAAGTCTTCCCAGTACAGATGTCCAGCCTGCCCTCCTCTAGAAACAACTTAAGTACCAATTCTGGGGCTACCCCATCTATTTGCTTCCTTTCCGCCATATATTTGTTTCATACAAAAGCAAAAACTGTAGCATCAAGATTAGTACACAGGCTCCCCCGTTAAGTACAGGCTAATTCTCAATTATGACAGGAAAACATGTTCACTTATTCTATTTTGTTATCTGCCTAAAAGTTGCTAAGTTCTTTTCTTTGTACTTTAAGGAATCTAAGATAGATACACAGGCCTTAAAAAGGGAAGCATAATATTTTTATTTTTTGCTTTCACATATCCATATAACAATATAGTACTATTATTTACTTTTTTCCTCTACAGTTATTTATTTTCTTACATCAATATTCATTTTTGTACAGTAATTGAGCTTCACATTTGTAATTCAAAATTCTGTTCCAGGGCCCTCCCTTCTGGTGCAGCAGGTTAAATCACAGCACTAAGAAGCTAAAGCCACTTCAGCATGAGTTCGATCCCCACCCCAGAGGTGACCACATGGCCCAGCAGACCACTCCTGACCCGCTCTCTGCTCCCCTCAGCAGTGTACTTCGACGATCTCCCTGTTCTGCTCCCCAATCTGTCTACTGTGAATGCTTTCACCATCCCCCTCTGGCCTGTACCCCAGTTCTGTATGCATAAATAAATCTCTAAAAAAACATTCTGTTCCAAACCTAATCACACATTAAAATCAGAAAGAATGTCTAAACTGAATGTCACCAATTAAAGCAACAAATATGTACTCATTGTTTATAAGGAAAATAATAGGTTTGACAATATGAAGAATTACAACTAAATTGGTAATCTAATAATACTACCCACCAGATAAAAGGCAATATTTCCAGGTACTGAGAATAATTCAGCTTTGGTCTTCAAAGTTTAGATATCCACATAATCAGGAACTCTATTCTAGGTCTGCAGCCAGTTAAGAATAAAGGTTTTTTGTTTTCCTAAAGATCTGTTTATTTATGTATATAAGAACTGGGTACAGGCCAGAGGTGCAGGGGTGAGAAGATTCACCAGAGACAGAGGGAGCAGAACAGACAGCTGGGCTGAAATTCACTGCTAAGGGACACAGCATGTTGTGCCATGCAGGTCACCTCCCTGGCTGGGGATGGAACTCGTGCTGCAGTAGCTGTGGACAGATTCGTGGTGCTGTGCTTTAACCCATGTGCCACCAGGGAGGGCCCAGGAATAAAGGTTTTTTACTAAGAGCCTCCTATGTGCCACTTTCCATGCTTTATTTCATTTAAAGGAGAAACAAAAGGAATAAAGGGCCCTTCCTGGAGGTGCAGCACTGTGAAACTGTCTGCACTGCAGCACCAGTTTGATCCCCAGCCAGGGAGCTGACCCACACAGCAGAGGTCTGGCACAACAGACCTCTCCTGTTGCCCACTGCTCCCCCACCTGCAGTGTATTTTCATTCAATCTGCCTGTTCTGCTCTCCACTCTTGCTCTGGTGAATCCTCTCACTGCCCCACACCTCTGGCCTATACCCTAGTTTCTGCTTAAGTAAATAAATCTTTTTTTTAAGAAAAAAGGAATAAAGTGGAAACAGTACCCCTATTTTTAAAGAATAAACATAGAATTATAAAAGCATTCCCAGGCTAGAACCTTTTCTCTGATATGGTTAAACACAGACATCTAGACACAGTGATTTTTACAGTTTTGTAGATTTGAGAACACACAAAAACTGCCAGGACAGTTTCAGGGTACAAGGAGGTATCATTGTGTAATACAAAATTTTAATTTAAAAAATTTGCAATCAAAAAAATTTTTGTATCCAATTAACAATTTTATTTTTTTTAAGATTTATTTATTTATGCATACAGGACTGGGGCACAGGCCAGAGGTGTAGAGGGGTGAGAAACTTCACCAGAGACAGAGTGGGGAGCAGAACAGGCAGATGGACAAAGTACACTGCTGAGGAAAGCAGCGGGTGGGTTAAGAGAGGTCTGCCGCACCATGTGGGTCACCTCCTTGGCCAGGGATCCAACTCCTGCTGCAGTGGCTTTGGAGAGATTTATAGTGCTGTGCTTTAACCCGTTGCGCCAATGGGGAGGGCCCTAAATATTTCTTTTAAACAAAAGAAAAAGAAGGCAAAGGAGCACTGCAGTTCACCTGCCTATCAAAGTGAAAAAATAAATCATGATCTTACCTTGGAGGTGACATCAATTCCAGTGATGAAACTGCCAGCCTTGTTTTCATATCTTCTGCTTGTATCCTAACATGAAGGAATAGAGTGAGTAATGCTAATAGCAGTTAAGGAAAACCCATGATAAAAAACTGCCCAACAACTGATTCCTTTTGGCTAGTCATTCTTTTCAGCATCCTTCCCCCATCCTGACAACCTATTATTATGCAGAAGTCCATCCCTGTAACTCTGAGGTAGTAATCAACCACTCAAGAAATATTTCCTAGCTCAGAGCCTGTTCAAATCCATAGTCATTCCATCTACTCAAGGTATGCATGTAAATGAAAATCTAAAGGCTTTCATGAAAACTATCCAAGATGAGGTACAGTCACTTATCTCCCCAACCCAGACTGGCCACCGTGCCAAGCCACCAGGTGGAGCACATCTTCACCAAAAAGCAGAAAGTCCAGACTCATCAAGATCTCCTGGGGAAAACACAGCACAGTGGAATGAAAAGAGGATGCTATTTAGAAACTGAGCACTCAAGCCACAGCTCTGACATTCTCATTACACTGCTCAATTCCTTTGGCTTCTCTGGATCTATGTTTTGTCCACGTTATCTGGCAACCTTCCTGGCCGCTTTTACTGCTCTCCCATTTGTGCTACATAACCTTCCCAAACTGCTTGTTCCCAGGTCAGAACCTCTGTACCTGCTGTGTCCCGGCACGGAGCACACTTTCTTCCAAATCTGCACATGACTGGTTCCTTTTGTGTCATTTAGGGCTCAAAAGACTAAACTGACCATCCTATCACGTCCTGCTTCCCACTCTGCAGATCCTCCCTGCCCTCTGCACTTTAGGCAACTCACTACCTTTCTGGCGTCTTCATTTTTGTGTATCTAAAATGGACCAATGATTGGAGACTTGAAAGAGACAAAAGCAAGACTTGCTAACATGTTCTGAAAGTAATCCAGGGTAGGTGAGAAATGAAGTTCAGAAAAGACCCACCGGGGCCTGAGCCCAGCCCGAAACACTGGGCAGGTGCCCACCAAACCATAAGCAAACACCTCTCACCATCTCTGCTGTGAGAAAAGACGGCGATCGAGGACCACTGACATTTGGGTTTCCCTAAGAGATGGGGTCACGGTGTGTGTGCTACCCATCAGAGGAGGTGCAAGGGGCCAAAATGACCCCCAAGTCACAACAGAGACACTGAGTTTCCGCTGCTGACAAGTCCAGGGCTCCCAAGTGAGCGCTATGCTTAACAGACACCAGCAGGACGCAGCTCCCCGAGCTGGACGCCCTCGGGACCTGGATGCCGGCGCCACCCGACAGATCCTTCTGGGCCGATCCAGTCTAAGCGCCCGCCGGGGGCTCTCCCATTATCTCAAGTCCCCAGAAATCCCTCCCCTCCTCACCCACCCCCTTGCACAGACCGGTTCGGAAGGGCAGCAAAGGGGTGTCCTCAACTACTCCCCCGTCTCACCCCACCTCCCCCAGCCCATTTCCGGGCGCCCCGGCGTCCTTTCTCTCGCTCCGGGTCCCCGCTGGATCCTGGCGCCCCCGCGCCTCAGCGCCGGCTGCCCTCGCTCCCCCCGCGCAGCTTCCGCAGCCCCAGCGCCGGCCGCCTCCCCTCCGGCCGTCCCCAGAGCCCAGCACTAGCTCCGCGACCTCCTCCTCGCCCCCCGCCTCCCGCCGTACCGGGATCAGTTCCTTAAGCGAGCGCCGAACCGGCACGATCTCCAGCTCGCCCTCCTCCACCTCCATGGGCTCCGGCTCGCCACGCTCCAAACCGGACTCCGCCTCGGGCGACGGGAGCCCCAGGGCCGGCCCCGCCGGGGCCTCCGCCTTCACCGACACTCGCAGGCCCCGTACGGCCGCCATCGCCTCCCGCCGGCCGTACCACTGAGAGCCCGCCCCGCACACCCCCGGCTAGAGCGCCGCCTCCACCGGCCACGGAGGCGCCGCAGCCTCTAGCTAGAGCGTCTCCTGCCTGAGCTGGAACGCCGGCCTCGGTGCGGCCGTCCCCTAGTGACCGGAGGAAGAGGGGACAGCAGGAGCGGGATGGCGAGAGGGCGCTGATGGGGCCTGCCGAGGGGCGGGGCCTGCAGGGGCGGGGCCTGCAGGGGGCGGGGCCTGCAGGGGGCGGGGCCTGTGGGCGGGGCCTGGAAGAGCTCCGCAGCGTCTGAGCTTGGAAAATAGCTACACCCTGAGTAGTAAACCTGTAGTAGAAGCTAAATTTACTGAGTAATGACTCTGTACGAGGTCACTGTCCCAAGTGCTTGAATCCTTACAACCCTATGAAGTAGGTGTTATTTTTTTTTAAAGATTTATTTATACATACAGAACTGGGGTACAGGCCAGAGGTGCAGGGGCGGCGAGAGGATTCACCAGAGACAGAGTGGGGAGCAGAACAGGGGAGCAGCAGGCGGGTCAGGAGAGGTCTGCCGCGCCATGTGGTCACCTCGGGGCGGGGATCAAAGTCATGCTGAAGTGGCTTTAGCTTCTTAGTGCTGCACTTTAACCCACTGCGCCACCAGGGAGGGCTCAGGTGTTATCTTTTACCCCCATTTCACCGATGAGGACACTGAGACAGAAATGCATCCTAGGTGACAGGTTGGTTAACCTGAATCTGAACTGAGCCGGTCTGATTCCAGAGCCCAGAGCTCTGGACCCTGTACCTTTCAAAAGGCAACTTTTGTCTCTTTCAAGTCTGTCACTCATTGGCCCTTTTTACATACACAAAAATTGAGGCTCTAAGGGCCCTCCCTGGTGACATAAGGGGTTAAAGCACAGCACTGAGAGGTTGCCTGCTGCCACTGCAGCATGAGTTGGGTCCCTAGCCTAGGCCCAGAGCTGACCCACATGGCGAGGCAGACCTCTCCTGACCCGCCCGCTGCTCCCCTCAGCAGTGTACTTCAGCTGTTGGCCTGTTCTGCTCCCCACTCTATCTCTGGTGAATCCTCTCACTCCACCCCACCCCACACCTTTGACCTGTATCCCAGTTTTGTCTGCATAAATGAATAAATCTTTTTTTAAAAAAAAGGAAAAGAGCAAAATTTGGTGACAAAAATTTGGTAAACAAATCAGTGGTTGCTAAGGCCTTTGGGGAGACTTTGGGGAGACTTTGGGGAGGGGGTGGGGAGAGCTGAATGGGTGCATCAAGGATTTATAAGGCAGTGAAACTATTCTATATGCCACTGTTACAGTGGCTACATGTTATCATACAGTAGTCATAGCTCATAGACTGTACAACACAAGAATGAACTCCAAAGTAAACTGTGGACTTCGGTTAATAATATGTTGGAACAAAGTTACCACACTACTAATATGTCAGTATTATCTCACAGGTTGGAACAAAGTTACCACAGTAATGCAATATGTTAACAATAGGGGAAAATGGGAGACTGCGATACATAAGGGGATTATAGGAAGACTCTACTCCCACTCAGTTATTTTGTAACCTTAAAGCCACTGGCAGCTTGTATAGGAAGACTCAGCTGGCAGTTCTGGGTTCTACCTGGCTCTTTGCTGACACTCTATGTGATTCTGAGCAAGACACTGCTCCTATACTTTATGGCTCCCAGGGTAGTTGTCCTGGCCAGGAAATGACCCCGTGCTCCTATTTTATTAGTAAAGCTCTTTTTTTGATATATACACTTTAAATGGTTTATTGACAGTGGCAATTTCTTCCCAGAGGGGCCAGGTGATCCACCCAGACATCACCCAGGAGCCAGCACCAAGTTCAGCACAGCCTCTGAGCTTCTCACTCTCACTCCAAAAGGGTGAGCACATCCCTTCATGAACAGACCTTTCATGTTGTGGATGATGGAGCGACTCCTGTCATCCATAAATTCCACACAAACCTGCATGCACTGGCCCTGCAAGCCGGTACTGCCCAAGACTTTGGTGACCCTAGCCAGCTTGGTGGGCTGCACGCGGCTGGTATTCATGATGGTACATGGTGGCGATCTGGCGGAGAGCTGTTGGTAAAGCTCTTACTCAGGCAATCTGGCCTCTCAGATCCAATGGTTCAGGGGGTGGTGACCAAGGCCTGGAATGACATCCCATGGTGGGTAGGACAAAGGGGGTCTTGGAGAAGGTCTTAGAGAAGGGGCAGACTTGACAAATAGAAGCAGGGACTGGGGAAAGAGATGAACTAAGAGGAGGGGTGGTGAAGGACTTGAGAAGCGGGGAGTGAGGGAAGGTGGGGCTGGGTGAGACATGGGTCAGGAGAGCAGAGCAGGCTGATGGCAGGGGTATTGAATGATATGTGGACATCGTGGGGACACAGAAGGATACTGAGGGGGTGGAGGTGCTCAGGGGAGTGGCTGTTGGTAGGAGAAAGACTTGAAGGACTGAGGGGCAGGCTGAGAGGCCACAAGGAGAGGCTGAGATAGGGAAGAAATAGGGACAAGCCCCACTTATTGGGCCCTTGATCTAAAGATGGCTCACCAGAGGTGGGGGTGCTATGGGTGCTTTGCCAGAAAAACATCCTGGGCCTTGGCCTTGAATGAGCTGAGGAAACACTTTGCAAGTATCAGCCATCGATGAAAGTGCACTGTACCTCTAACAGAGACTGGCTTTTACGGATGTATGGGTTACATACAGTTTTCTTCAGAAAAACTATAAAGTGCTCTAGAATAGGATGATCGTATTACTGCTGCAGTAAAACTCCCAAGGTCAAACTCAAAGACCAAAGTTTTACAAGGGGATCAAACATCTAATGAAGATGAAGAAAAAGATCTTTGAAAGCCTCAATTGTCTATGAAAGTACACCAAACTCAAGACCTGCTTATTGGTCTTAGTGTTTGGGGAACATCTGCTGCAGCCAGCACCCCTTCATGAAGAGGCCTTGGGGCGGCATCTCAGGAGACCTCCCATAAGGAGCAGGTGCGACTTTGGGCCATTGCTCAGATGGAAAAAATGGATCAGCGGGCCCTCCCTGGTGGGCAGCGGGTTAAAGCACAGCACTAAGAAGCTAAAGCCACGTCAGCGTGAGTTTGATCCCTGCCTGGGAGGTGACCCACATGGCACAGCAGACCTCTCTTGACCTGCCCACTGCTCCCCTCAGCAATGTGCTTTGTTGATCTGCCTGTTCTGCTCCCCACTCTGTCTGTAGCCTCTCACCGCCCCTTCACCTCTGGCTGTACCTCAGTTCTGTATGCGTAAGTAAATAAATCTTTTTTAAAAAAATGGATCACCATGTTTGGCAGTCTCTAGCTTGAGGCTCCTGGTTGGCCCCCAATTGCCCCCGGCTGGGTGGTCTAGATGGGCCAATACCAGTCATGCAGGAAGTGCTCAGCCCTGGCCTCATCCTGGGCTCCCTGGTTCTGGCAGCCCCGGACAGGATGCACCAAGGTCTTTGTGCTTCTGTTAGGGGTCTTGCTCACTGAGTACTAACTGTGGGCCAAGCACAGCTTCAGATGCTCCCTTTAACTTCACAAGATGCCTAGGAGGAGGTGCTGATGTCATCCACATTCTCTGAGGAGGACACAGACACCTTCAATGACTGGTGAAGGCCACACTGCTATTAAATGGCAAGGCCTGGATTCGAGCTCAAGGCTGCCTGCCCTCAAGGTCAGCTCTTCTCACAGTGGGGCCATTGAGGGTCGTACCAGGGGGGTTTCACATGCCCAAGAGCCCGTGCCAGCACCCAAGGATCAGGGGCACAAGAGAACCCTGAGCCCAGGACTCCCATGAGGCCCCACTGGGACTCCTGTTCCATGAGGAGTCCTGATGGCTCACAGAGACCAGACAGTAGCCTCCCTGGGCCCCTTAAAATGAGTAGGGCGCCTTCGTGAGCAGCCCACTGGCCCCCAAATAGCTTGTTGCTCCCAAAGAGGGGCCTCCTTCCCTGGAGACTGATCCTGGGTTAAGCCCTTCATCCTCCAAAGCCTCCCTCCTCCCTCCCTCTCATCTTCTTCAGAGCTTCCCACTACTGCCCTACTCAGAACCTCCCAGAAGAGCCAGCAAATCCAGATGATCCCATTGGTAAGCAAGAACACATCCAAATGCAAAAAAACGAAAAGAAAAAAGTCCATACAGAAATTTTTTAAACTCAAGTGAGGGTTTTTATTGTTTTTAACTCACTTCCTGGGAAGTTAATTTGTAAAACACTCTTACGGAGTTTGTTCATCACCTGCGCTACATCAATAAACAAGGATGCCAACCAAAACCCTCAGAGAGGGGGTGGGGAACCTCACCTGGGCTCTGACCCCGGCGTGAAACCAGGTCCCCCTGAGCTCTTCTGAGCTCTCTGAGTGCCGGTCCAATTGGCGTAGGCCCTGAAATCCCCACCCTCCAGGCACCACCCAGAGATACTCAAGAAAACCATGCAGAACCATGACTGGCACTTAACTTGCCTCCCATGAACTCTATAAAAGTGTTCTTAAAAAGAATACTGAGTTCTCTGTCAGCCCTGGTCACAAGGCCTTAGCACAGAAGAGCCAGGGAGAGCCGCGAACCCACTGCCCATGGGCCACGTTCTGCTCACAGGTGCGAATACACATGGATACTATAGTACAGACACACGGCCGGCGTGAGGCATGCGAGTGTGCTGTGTGCAGCAGATGGACACGCACATGCGTGTGGGCGTGGAGACGACGGACACCCACAGGCACAGAGATGCTGGACGCGGCGCTCCTCCCGCCCGGCCTCCCCGGCTTCCACGGTGAGTGCTGCCGTCTCTCACCGTGCCGGTGACCCCAAACCCTTGCTTGGCCCATGTTTTCAGGGGAGGTATCCAAGTCCTGCTTTATTTTTCTTTGGGGGTCAAGCTCTTGAGCGTTTGGTCAGTAAACACCATGTCGGCCAGCCAGGCACTGATTCCAGAGAGAAGAGGAAGTCAGCTCCCGCACCGCACGGCTGTGTTCAAGCTCTCCTGCG